AAACTTTTGTTGTTGAGCTGGGTGACAATTAATTGTAGCGCATTTGGATTACTGATTACTTGTTTTAATTGACTTTTTGGCCTCCTAAGTTTGTTTTTGTTAATCATAGGCATGATTCGCACATTCTCCGTCATGGTCGTCGTTGGGTGGTGAAGACTCACCAAAGAGCCCTTGTACAGTGCTATCGGCGATGTGTGCCGCAAACAAAATGCTGAACAATTTGTCCTGGTTGACCAACGAGGATCAAAGAGTCCGGTGCTAGCCATCGTCCGAGCCAACAAGATAGAACAGAATTGACCAACTGAGTTTGGACCCGCCATATGGCTATGTGGAGCAATGTCGAATGACGCGCGCCACGAACTGCGATCCGCACGAAGCTTTCTGCGAAAACAGCGACACTTGGCCACGGACTGGAAGCTCGTCGCCTTGGATGGCCAAGCTTGACGTGTCCAACACGGTGCTCGCCCTGGATCTATGACCCGAAGGCCTATAGTATCTATAGTATAGGGTCAGGTCTTTAATCGAATAAGTAATATGTAATAGGACATGCATGAATTTTCGCACACTTTTTTCGTCTTCTCGGCGCATGCGTGCTATATTTTCAGCCTCAGCACACTGCGCATGTAGGCCCTACCTGGAGTGCTGCAGCGGGTCGCCCCTTTGTCAACAAAAACTCATGCAGGTGTCGACAAGATATAGCGCAAAAGACAAGATATGCGGTTTTCATTGACGGACCAACCAAGTTGCAGCTGTCTCTGCATGCTTTTGCCAGGCCGGACCTCACATGAGGATACATGAGGGGTCCGGCTGCCAAACTAGAAACCAAATGAAACCAGCAAATCCAACTGCAACATGCGCCATCCTGAATGATTGTGGCCACATGTGGGCACTGCCGATTTCAGGGCATGTGAGGACACATGGTTTCTATCAAACTCAGCAATCTTTGCGAACAAGTCGCCCAGTTGTTCTTGGGCCTTTTGTACCTGATTGTCACCATAGCCTCAGAAGACGAGCACTCCTTCACCGTCACCTGCTATCGGATGTTATCGGATGCGACGCCAAGAAATGCGCCTTGGGCTGGTTTTTCTAGGTCGCTGGTTGACACCACGAACACTTGGAAAACAGGAGCCTGTCACCCCGACATGGTGTTTTTCTGTTTTGCATTTCTCCTGCGCAAATCAAAGGCCACGCATATGCTGAACCACAAACTCCGTGGAGAGTGATATTGGAAGTGCCAAGTTGCTCTTCAATCTTTCCATGGCCTTTGCCCATGCAGCCTCCGACTGTGAGAAGTCCGACTCGAGCGCCAAGGGTGGGTCCTATCGCCACACTCTGGAATGGATTGACGGATTGTTTGGATACATTAGTCGTGTAAGGCCAGGAGACCCTAGTAGCGTCCTTGCTACTATGACACACTTACCAGGACAGCTTGAGCCAGTTCTTGTGCCAGTCTTGCAGACCTCCATGGTTCTGCAAAGCCACGGAGACGCTTGCATTGCACCCAGTCGCCTGCATGGCATCGACGATGCGCTTCAAAGATGGCCAGCTGATCTCACCCGGCCACTCACGGCGATAGAGGACGCGGATGCTCTCGACACCTGAGGGTCGACACCATGGAACATGCTTTTCCTTAAAATGCTGTCTTGGCCGGAACATGAGCTTCAAGGACTGAATTGCTGGTATTTTCGCAACCTTATTGCTTTGGGCATGTTGTGGCTGTATGAATTTAAGCATTCAGGATGTGCTGCCACGATTTCTGGCAGCCCCTCCTCCCAACGCGCTCGCTCTCTCTCTCTCTCTCTCTCTGTCTCTCGTCTGTGACAACCGTCCTACAGGGGCACTCTGACATCTTTGACCGTCAAGGCAAGTTTTGCATACTCATGCATACTCTCATCCATTGTCGAAGGTACCAGCTTGCTATGAAGTGATCGTAGGATCTCTGGGACGTGGGACGGATCTAGGTGCTCTGAAGCCAATGCAGCGATGTCGCGTATGCAAAGCTCTGTTGTGCTGTAAACGACGCCAGCGTAGCCGCGTTCTCGCCAGTTGTCACCTATGTTTGCTGCATTGCCATTTCATTCCAAAGTGATTCATTCAATGTGAACTAAAAGGATCTAAAAGGAACAGAACTAGACCCAGCATGTTCAAAATTGAAACGAGAACAGGCTCTTCTCCAATGCAAACCCAAAATAAACGTGATATGTCTGATACGTTCAATGTCCAAGGAGCCATTGCCAGAGGAAGAAACAAGGATGTCTGAGATGCCTGGTACACCACGCTCCGCAGTGTTAGCTTTGAACCTCAAGTTGACAAGCGGGTATGAACTTTGGTATGAGGTTAAGGTGATGGACAAGCTCTTACAACATACTGGACATTAGTTGTAATTATTGACTATAGGTTGTACGAGCGCCACGGTTGCTGTACTGCAGAGAATACAGCATCTGTAATATAGGAATAATATGTGAGTCATGTGTCTTGATTCAAAATATATAAGCTTTCGCCTAGAATTTGAGAACTTAAATTTGTTTGCACATGGTGGACACCCGCAACATGTGCACCGTGCGTCGAACCCCTTCAAAGGCCGAAAAGGACCAGGAGCTCAATTGACGTCTTGGTCAAGTACATCAGCACCAACATGAAGTTAAACATACTTGAATATAGGAGCATCAAGTTACTAAGTTCCGAAGGTTCCAGTGAAACATCAAAGGAGTGCTGGTATGGCCAAGGCACTCTGCAAGGAGCACTGTTTTGCCTGTATCTCGGGCCTTCTGCAGGTCCATGGTGCCTTAAATATGCTGCAAAAATTAAATACTGCAAAAGGGTTTACACTTGATTCAACATTGCCGTAAATGAACACCTTGATAATTCTGCACCCTCTCCCTTGCCGTTGCGGATGATTGGTTGCAGACCGAAGCAAAACGTCAAGACTTTTGATGGCTTTCATTTAACGAGGCGGCTCCATACATAAAACTTATTGTTCCCAGAAAGCTGGCTGACTTCAACCTTTGGATGAACTGGTTGGCCGCACAAAACCCAAACTCTTCAGAGTCGAAGGATCTGCAAGACTTCTTGATCCCTGCGGGGGAAAGGTGCATCTGACTTATCAAAGTCACAATAAATTCCAAGGCCATGAGATCCTTTGACCTCTTGCAAATCCTGATATGGCAAGGTCAGCAAGTGCAATTTCACTAGAGACCGCGAGGAAATCGAAGCAAAGTGAATTTTCCGCATGACTGTGATGTCTATGATGATATACTATCACGGAAGCTCCCCCGTCTCGTGGGATGTCCATTGACGGGTCGAAGGCGTCTGACGCGTTGGTTTGAGCAGGCGCTAGATGGAGCTAGCCGCTAGCCTCTTGTTGTGAACGGCTTGCGGCGCAAAGCCCGAAGAAAACAGGCAAACTGCTTCCCAGGTTAGTTTCTTAGGAGAAGCCTGTCCACCTCCTTCCAGGACAAGTAAATGGCATCTGCATGTTTTGTAACTCCCGTGGGAGGGGATGTTTCCGGGCGACTTGTCCTCACAATGCCGCCCATGATTCAAGCAATCTTTAAAGTTTGTACAAACAAATATGCCAGCTGTGACTAAAAGCTCATTGTTGAATTATGGCTCATACGGCATATACCATTATATGTTTGCCGTGCTTGTTTGCTTGTCCTTGGCATAGAGCTCAAAGCCGATGGAGTCAAAGAGCTGCACGCAGTAATAAGCATCTGAGTAGCGGACACCGTTGTCAGTTGTCAAGTAAATGCAATGGCTGTAAGCAAAATAGGTTTTCCCTTATCTGGTTTGCTACCCTATTGAAGACCACAACAATCCGTCATCCCTTGTCTTTAATCCTTGAGCCCAAAATCAAGCATCTGATGCTCGTGCTTTGACACATAAAAGACTCTTGACTAAGAAGCCCCCCATATGAACAGGTATTGCAATGCAAGTCTGGGCGGTTTTATTAATCAAGAGTATTGATCGTCCTGCATTGATGATGTTTGAGAGTCTAAAACTATACCAGTACTATAATAGTCATCGACTATAGTCTACGGTCTTCGTTGAAACATGACCTTTCTTCGCCTCGAAACGTGTCTTCACCTCTTCGTCCAAGCCGCGAAACGTCACATCGCGACACCGAAGCATGGCGCCCGCGGGTGACGCGTCTGAGCCAACGGGACCGGGTCGTTCGATCGACGCGGAAGGAGAGTCTGAGTAGCGTTCGGTCGCCAGCCAGGTCGCTTCCAACTGCGAAATCAGAAAAAGCGGAGACGGAACGAACAAAAAGAAAGTAATAAATGTAGACCCTTGATTATCTTGATAAATAAACCCGTCATATGAAGAGGATTTCCAGTTGCTTACATTATATACCTAAAACCCATTTCTACATAGTATGCAATGGATAGTATTGCCTGTATACAATGGGGTATATATACTTATATACATTTCTTACTTGCTAGCATTGTACACGTTCTAGACCCATTTTGATATTAGTATACCATCCTTGAAATGGGTTTTAGGTATACAATGGGATATTGTGATGTAGTATACAATGAACAAATCAAGGCTAGCTCTGCTCGTCGACGGAAAAGACGATAGCCGATAGCAGTCAAAAGAGAAAGACATGGGAAAAGAATATGAAAACAGCCACTTCCCCTGGCTCAACACCAAGTGGCCAAGGCCGCTGATATAAAGCTTCTCATCTGGAAGTGGCTCCCAATCCTGCCATGGAACCGGGGCCCAAAGAAACGCCTTTTCGGCGAAGTGAAACACATTGCGGTCGCCTCACAAGCCTGGAAGGTGAAACCATTGCGGTGGACCAGCCTCAGGGAATAAATGCATTTCGACCACAAAGTCTTAATTGCTTGGGCTATATTGTGGCTTAACTTTGCTTAAAGTTTAAAGGTTAAACATGACATCAGCACAAGACTCGGATGGAAAGAATCGCACGTTGCTAGCAAATATATTTAGAACTGCAGGTTTGTTTCAAGCAAAACAATTGGTGTGTCGCACCATTAGCCAAAATATGTGCCAATATAACATGTGGCTCCCAGCCCTGCCCCTAGCTTGCCTTTAAGAGCTGAACCAAGAAGTGGTGACTGAAACAAATGACACGCGGTTCTATAGCCACTTCTTCTCACTCGCACACGTACCGGTCCAGTCTTCATCAATCTTCCGAATGTCCCCTCGGAAGCCAGTCCGATAGAACATGATAGAATATGCACGTGGAACCTTTTTCCGCTCTGTCTTGCGGAAGTCTCTGAGTGTTCACTATCCTCGCGTGGTCGGTGCATGCCCTGGCTGGCACAAAACCCAAACTTTTTCGGCTGTTTTACTTCAAAACAACTGCAAAGCAAAGTGTGAAACAGCTGAGTCAATGCAAGACATATCATCAAGCTCCGGACCATTAACACTTCAAGTCACTTGAGCTAAGGAACCATAACGCCATTAAACTGTCAAAACATAGTGTCCGAGTGTCTCTCACCAGCTGTGTTCCGTCAGTCGCCTCAGGCACATACTCGAAGCTCTGCTCAACCTCGAGAAACGTGTCGAGCAAAGGGCACCCAAAACTTGCTTGAAGTCAAATCCTAAGTGCTGATTTGCTTGGAATCATTTGGAATCCCAGCTGACCACCAGGTAGTCTTGTCTGCAAGCACTGCCTGGCTGCTTCCCCAAGTGGCCCAAGATGGAAATGAGCACCAAATAAAGGCCAGCAGATTTGGACAGCATCTGACCTGAACTTGTCAACACAGCGTCTCGCCTTTATGCCAGCGATGTACTCCTGGAAGCTCTGAGGGCATCCAGGGTCACTATGGTCATTGGCCTGAACAAACGGGGCAGCGCATTAAATTTATTTTTGCATTTGGGTGACAGCTTCAAGGACAACTTCGCTGCTGCTTCGCTTTGACGCATCTTTCTATGGAACCGCCAGATCAAGCTTCCAGCATGTCAGATTCAGCAGCATTCACAAAGACCGATCTAGTACGGTTGTGTGGCCTTCATATTGTATCATATTGTCACTGCACCTTTCCAGGTTGCAGCCACCATTTGATCACCAAAATTGCACCATGTGGGAAGGTGCAAAGCGCTAAGTGAGACTGCTCAGAATCCATGTTGAGCGTATGGCTCACCTGGGGTCCAATGCATCAAGCTGATATTTTGCGCAGGAGATTCGGCACTTCACTTGAAGACATGTATTTATGGACGACGCGCACACACACACACACACAGCGACTTGCTGGAAGTTTCCAGCACAGTCCTACACATCGTTCCTCACGGGGTGTCTTCTTGAGGACTCCCAAGACTTTAAAGGGGGAAATCATTGAGCATCACAATATAGCATCGCTTATGGAGCATGTGAGCCGCTACACTATGTTATACGCTGTGAAACCAGTCCCAGAATCTAAGGGGCATGACAGGGGTTACGGTAGTATATTTGTAATGAAACACAACAAGAGTCAGAAGAACCCTGGAAAGGACAGCAAGAATATCTTTGGGCCTCTCCCTGGAAGGAAAAGTGGGGTCCAAATAGTTCACCGAATCCTCATGTGGAGCTTGATCGCCTGTGCTCAAAGAGTGGGAACAGGGACCAGGGAGGTGCTGTTGCCAAACTCCTATCCATCAAGGTGACCCGTGTGTGCTCCGCCTTTTGACCTAACAAAGCAACATCCTTTCAACATTATGCAATTAGCTGTGCACCACTCTCTGTTTGGCCGAGATTCTTCTGAAGTTCGTGTGGCCCATGTGCATAGCTGCATTGCATCCCCCGGGTGCAGGTGCCTGTCCAAAAAGGCTAAGATGATGCGACGTCATCTCGTGACGTGCCCAAGTCTGAGTGGCTACTACTGCTCGAAACAAATCTTGTGACCATTAGACCATTCTTGCTGGCCTTTCAAAAAGAAGGCACACATCACCGTCTTGAATTTTCCATCATCATTTGGAGCCTTCCCGCCATTCTTGCCCAAAGCCATCATTCCACCGCCTCAGAAAAACCATCGAATACCAGGTGCATATTTGAAAGGCTCAGCACCTGCGCCATGACAGTCAGGTGAGCACAATACGTCGCATTTCCATAGAGATTGCCGAGCGGCCTTTTGCCATAGGTCCTTTGCCAGGCATGGGTCCTTTGCCCATGCCACCCATGCCGCCCATGCCGCCCATGCCACCCATGCCACCCATACCGCCCATGCCCCCCATACCGCCCATGTCACCCTTGCCCATCGGAGCCTTACCTATCGGACCCTTGCCTCCTCCTCCTCCTGGCGCTCCTCCTTTCTCAAGTTCCCACGCCCCGTGAGCAAATGTGCAGGACTCTGCACGCTGGCACCATCCCTGCGTCTCGAAGAACTTGCACATCACTGTCTTGTAGTTGTGCGGTTTGCCTGCAAAATCCCACCAGCAGCGCCACTTGCTGGTGCTCGTCGCGCACACACACAAAACAGCAAATGCAGTGAGAAAGGCAAGCAAAACAACTTGATCTGACTCCCATGACTCCCTCCCGCAAACATGTCGACACGCAATTTCAAGACAAAGTTAGGAGTGCAGCTAGGCCAGTTTGTCCATGTCAAATCTATATACAAGCGTCTTGCTGGCCTCCGTTTGCCTTGCCATCTTTGCCATCTTTGCCACCTTTGCCTCCCCAGCCACCCCATGAGTTCATCATCATATTCATCATGTTCATCATACCTGAGACGAGGCAACTTCTGGCTTTTCATCACCAACCTCAACCAACCTCATAAACATGATGAGAACATGATGATGATAAACTGAGACATTTGACTCTGAGTCCGACTTAATCATATATAATATAGACTGTTGATTACCCCGACATTGAGCTTGCTCTTACATCTCGATAGGGTCTTTTGTTGATCTCTCTAATCAACAGTCAACATGAATGTAATGGAGACTCGTGATTAGTAAAAATGGTTCATAAAAACTCAGGTTTGTTGGTTTATGTTTTACAACGATCTTTCGAGCCAAACCGTCTGAGCCGTACGGGCCCAGGCGCCACCTTTCGGACCTTTGCCCTTGCCACCCGGGCGTGAATCTCTGGGCGTCGCGAAGACCACCGTCACGGGATCGGTGAGGTTCTGCGGCACGTTGCCTAGCGAAGGCGAAGGCGTTCACCGGGTGTTCGGTTCAGCTTTGACGTCCGTGCGTCATGCCACGCGAATCTTTGGAAACAACATGAAACAACCGGAACAAATCAACAAACCTAACTATAGCAGTATACTATAGCAATATATAATCTCTTTGCAAGTTCGCAATGTCCCTCATAATACCTCATAGGTGGGGTTCCAGAAACTCCTTTCTGCGCAACGTCCGTTGCGGCCACTTGTTTTCCCTGTTCTCCAAGCAGCCATTCACATGTTCCACAATCCACTTGGCGTCATCCACCTCGCCACAAAAAGCATCGATGAGAGACCAACACAACGGCTTCTCTCAAAGAACCAACAGAATCACATAGCAACAAGGATGGCACGAGGCGAACGTCCCTGTGAAACGTTGTGGAACGTGCCCAGTTCAGAAGAAAGTGACTTCGAAGTCCTTCTAACAAAAAAGTACAGTAACCACTATTAATATACTTGAGACGTTCACATCACAACTTATAAACTACGAGTCAATTATATATAGACAAAAAAAAATATCCGGGCTATGCAAGAATAAACTGCCGTCAACAGAAAACTTGTTTTTCCAGTAGGTTGAAAGTAGAGAGCAAGATAGAGCAAGTAAATCATAAACTTGACATACTCCTAAAAATTACAAACTTCCTTGAACTATTGCAATAATAAACCGCACTTTCACCTGTACAACAAAACACATCTTCAAACACTATTGGTATTTATATAATTGATTAATCAATAAGCATATTATATAATTCATTCAGGTCTGACCTGCACTCTGCATATGGGAACTTTGACCGTCCGGGCCATGTGAACGGCTCATCGCAACGTGGAAAGAACTAAGGCAACCTTGTACTCCCCTGACCGTCCCAAAAATGGATGACGTGACACACTTTCGATTGGGCATTGCAAGTGTCACCCATAGAATTCACTCTTTGAAATAATCATGGAAGTGGATGGCATGGCGGCAAGGATAACCATAATCGAATACCATTTTCCTCTACCAAGCAGTTGGTGAACTCGGCGAAACCGCTCCAGTTCTGCGAGTTGGGCGCGGTATGCTGCCCCAGGCGCGGTATGCAAAATGACAAAGGCAGCGGCTGCTGTCTTCCCGGCAGCGACTGGCAGCACAGTGACTTCCTTCACTGAGCCGTACTGACTGAAAATATCCTGGCAAAGTCCAATCAGCAGGCAAAAACTGAAGTAAGACAGCACAAAGTTGCAATTTGCCTTTTCATACAGTATTCCTCTCTGGCGAATGCAGGACACACAACATAAAGGTTGCAATTGTTTGATCAAACAGGGTGCCGCCTTTGTGAACTCCTGAGTCACATCCATCGGAAGACCGGTCACAAAGAGTGTCTCACTGGGCGGAGGTCCCTGCGCCATGGCTTCAAGCGGTCACCAACGCAGCGTTCGTGGTTCCAAGAAAAGCGCTTCGCACCCGTTTGGTGAGAGAGCTTTGTTTTGGCGTTGGTGGATGCTGGTGTTCGCTCAATGTGCTGAATGTTCAGTTGCAGCGCTTGCAGTGCGTGTAGGTCATATCTTGGTCTGCAGCATCGTGATGCCGCATGATTCTGCCATGGTGGTGCGAAACAAACTGATTGAGCATTCCGCGGCGAACATGGCTCCATGGAGGTCAGCAAACTAAGTTTCCCTAAACATCTAGGAGCCAAATGAATAGTGCGAGCACTTCTTCATGGAATCTCCCTCCCCGCTTCCTTTAGGGCGGCGGGCGGCGGGGGGGTTCCTTGAAGAAGCATGAGCTATCCTGCGTCCTAAGTAGCAGCTACTTGAGCTACTAGCTACCTAGCTACTACTAGCTACCCCCACCCCCGGGCAAAAAAATTAACATTGTTTTGCAAAATTCAGTTGGTGACTCCAGTGAGATGGTCCCAAAGCTTCAAGCGTTACAAAACGCTTCTGCCTCGTCACATGGATGGCCTTCTTCGGCCAGAACATCCAAAACGCTGGAAAGCGCTTCAGCAGTCGCCTGGGGGAAATGGTCAAGGCTTTGAAGCAATGCACACAATAGGTGTGGTCAAGAGTTGACCGCGTGTTGCAAGAGTGTTTGGAGGGAACAACGCTTGAACTAAGAATGAATCACCCCATCTTGTGCCTCTGGCTGGTAGCCGCCTTGCAAGGTGCAAACCACCCGTTGGCACAAGTGGCCTCGATTGCATGCGAAGCATTGTGGGGCACCACAATGTTCCATAACAAAATTGATGGGTATGACACGTGAAGAGATGCTTACTCTTGTGCCATCTTGTGCCCACATGCTCTCAGTGCCCTACAGCAACGTCGTACCACGCGTTGTAAGAAGCTGCTGCTCAAGCACAAACCCGCCAGGCATGGATCGCCCTGCAGCGTCAGTTGCTCAAGCAATCCGTCCACCACACCCGATGCCAATTGTTGCAAGATGTTGCAAGTCTACCACTCTTTACCTGATTTCCGCCAACGAACTAACTGGCAATCACCGTCTCTGATGTCTTTCAGTGAGCAGTGAGTTTTCAGAATCGAGTGTTATCACGAATGGCCGGTCTTTTTCTGCATCGTGAAAGTGTGCAAGGTTCACTCAACAAGTTGCCAAATGCTAATTAAGGTTCGTTTTCCCAAGGTGATTCTTGCATACGACCGCCAACATTGCAGCATAAGTCCTCCCTGTTGCCGAGGCCTCCAAACCGTCGAAGCCCAAGGCTAAGAACAAAACCTCCGGGGAGAAGGCCTGCGGTTCCCCCGAAGGCGAGGGAGAAAGGGAAACATGGCCCATTGGTTTGTAAACAAGTTCTTGTTTTTCTTGTTTTTCTCCAGGAAGCGACACCAGTGTGACCGTCAGCGACCCCCACCTTTAGACAACGGCCATGAAAAACATGCTGATATATTATATGTATAGTATGGTTGTGTGAATAACGGGGGGGGTCCTTGACCTCATTTTATAGGTATAAAACGGTTATGCCAAACCCCCCAATGTGAATAAACTTGTGCAAGTAGAAATTTGAGGGTCCTATAAAACGAGAGGTTCAACATCATCTTTGATAGCTGCATCACTAGTTGTTTTTCATAGCTGCGTTCCAAAATTCTGCCCCTCAGTAACTGCCTAAGTCTTTAGATGTTAAAAACTGAAAGACTTTGTGAACCACCCTCACAAAAACACTCAAATCACTATAAAATGACTCGCCTGACCCGCCCAGTGAGGGAGGTATTAAACGTTTTATATGAGGGGTTATCCACCCTCATTTCATAGAGGAAATTTGACATAGCCATTGTATAGTAGTGGTTGGTTGACCTGTGTTTTTTCATCCTGGAATGGCCATTCTTAGCACAAAAAACTATTTTTTCGCGGCCTCATCGCGAAGCATGGTCCTACAACCATGTCTAGCTAACATGAACCGGAACTATTAAAAGACTCTAGCGGCTGACATCTTGCAGCATGACCCCGGCAGAAAGTTGAGTTTCCACAGCTACCCAGGGTCACTTGCAGGATCTGTGCGACATCAGTCCGGCAAAAAGTATCCTAAGTCCTGGCGGAGGCTTGGAATAATAGACTATGAACAAAGTCAGGCGCAACTCAACCCAATCCCCGTGCCAGCTTGGGGAATGTTGGGGCGTCTCAAGCTGGGAACCTGGACTTTAGCGGCGCATTCGCGAAGCTTCCGCAAAATGTTATGGGCGACTTCCCCGGTAAGGCGCAAAAACTGCAAACATCTGCACAGCCCGTCAGAGAAGCTGCAGGTCGTTGCCTCACATGAAAGCAAAGACCTTCGATAAATCTTTCGCGGAAAGATTTGATACTTTCGCGAACCTCATCGCGAATCTTTCGCGGATGGTTTTAAGAACATCTGAAATCTGAAGGCTGTTTTGTATAAAACTAGGGCTCTAGATCAACTCCAAAAAAAAAATATATATATATATATATTGAGGCGTAAGAGCGTTGAGGTTGCCTGGGATGGTCGGTGCACGGAGTGGGCCGGTTGGGCGCCACGTTGCGCACCACCCCAAGCACCACTCCGAGCACCACCCCGAGCAGCACTCCGAACACCATTTTGTAAGTTTTGCAGCGCTGAACCCACTCCACATCGTGACATGTTTTCGTCTTCTTGAAAGTTCAAAGAGTTCAAATTCTTTTGCACCCATTGAGCTCCTCTTCTTCAACGAGTTGGAGTTCTTGTGTGCGCACTTGAGCAGTGATGCTCAGAATTTTCCAAGCTTCGTGTGTTCGCCGATCAGAGAACAGGCGCGGAACCCCCACTTTTCTCCGCGGAACAGGCGCGGAGCAGAAAAACATAGAGAAAACAGGTTCTGCGCGTGTTCCGCAGGTGTTCGCGCGCTGGCTGAAGAGGCGCCGAACCTCTGCAGATCGAGCCCTCAGAACCTCCGCGGAACCTATTTTCTCTACGTTTTTCTGCTCCGCGCCTGTTCCGCGGGCGTTAACGCGGATGTTCCGCGAAGGTTCTATAGGGGTTCCACGGGGGTTCCGTGGATGTTCGGCGGGTGTTCGCGCGCTGGCTGAAAAGGCGCGGACCCCGGCGGAGCGTGCGCGAACCCGCGCGGAACAGGTGCAGAACCCTCGCAGAACAGGCACGGAACGCGCTCGTGCGCACACAGGCACACGAATGTGTGCCCACTTGAGCAGCGGTGCTCCGAGTGACTCCAAGCATCGTTCAAGATTTGGTATGTGCTCGCTGATTAAGTTCACTTCGGTACACAGGCCGTGTCAAATAGATGAAATAGATGAACCTGCTGTGACTCTATTACATCATATTACAGCATATACATTATAACTGTTATACCATATATAGTTTTTGTGATAGATGAGAGCACGTGATGAAACACAGCCAGCATGTGGACGGACAAAACAATCTCGGTCGAGACGAGAAAAGAACTGCAGAGGCAAGAGAGGGAAGAGAATTGGTGTCCAGGCGTTAGCGTGTTCTCTCTGTATGGCACCAAGAAGGCATGACTTTTTGGCAAGGGTGCATTTTTGAAGTCAGTTACCTTTAAATTCCCACCCGTAGTGAAGAGATGTCACGAAAAAACATAGCACTGGCCACATCGATTCCCAACGAAACTTTATAACAACACCTCACAAACCTGTTTTACCTGCTTGACGCTTGGAGTACGCAAAGTGTGTGATGGATGGAACTACACTCGCTCGCATGTAAAAAACAGGTACAAGTGCTGCAAGAGCATACAACACATGATAAAAACAATGTGTTTTTCAGGGTGCACAGGTTGAATTCTGGGATGGAGATGAAGACCCCCCCTGCGCACCACCCCGCGCACCACTCCGAGCACAACTTTTCAAGGTTCAAATAGACTCACCACCCCGCGCACCACTCCGAGCATCACTTTTCAAGGTTCAAATTGACCACCCCCCCGCGCACCACCTCGCGCACCACTCCGAGCACCACTTTTCAAGGGTCCAATTGACCCCCCGACCCCCCCTCCTGCGCACCACCCCGCGCACCCCTCTGAGCACCCTGAAATCATTGATTTTCCACGTTATGTTATTTTGAATGTCGACGCTTGTATGCCTATATCAATATAATATATATATATAGAGAGAGAGAGAGAGCTCTATCAATCCCGTGTTCACCAGGGAGGTCGCTGACGTGTTCTTGAGAAGCCTGGGGCAGCCTGTGGCCCACTCCAGCAAGGAGTGGGATGTGTCCAAAAACATGCACATGCACAAAGTACTGCAGGAACCCGAGCAACCTATCAACATCGCATAACAAACTTATCAAGATCTCCCGAGTTGTTGACTAAATACCAACTCAACACCAGCTGAACTCGTGCTGCCAAATGCACTTTGCCGATCCTGCAAAGCCGGGAAGGCAAACTCCTCGAAGCACAGTTGAGAAACTGCTCTGCTAATATTTATTTGCATGTCCCTTTCTTTGTGTGTAAGTTTGCCAAATTGACCCGCACATTCATCAGTGTGTTGGTTGATTCATGTTTGTTGACGAAGCAATGTCGACCTCTGACCCATATTGCCCCACGAGACTAGTGGCGCTACTTCGTGAAGCTGGGACAAAAAAAGTAAATGCAAATTGCTTGAAAAGGGGGGTTAAGACCATCAATGGACTCCAGCTTCCTATAGGATATTTTTGGCACAACCGACTGCAAGTGTATATGCCTTTAAAATCCCTTTTGCAGTAAGCGGTGGATGTCGAGCATGCCATTTGGCAGTTAAACAACAATGATCCAGCATGGCTGGGTGCAAACCCTGACGGGGGGGCCTGCACCATAGAATAAAGTGTGCAACCCTTGCAGCGCTTGGGATCTGCTCTCTATCACATGGTTCAGCTCAACCTTTTGGTGTGCTGAAGTAGAGTCCACCTCTTGCCCAGAAAATGAACTACTGGAAAAAAACACGTATTCCAAGGTTGAAAATCATTCTACAAACACATGTTGGACAATGTCGATCCTGCTCGCTTGCACAATCAAGTGCAGCAGTTCATGACAGATGCTGATCAGCATCTGCTTTCACGTTATAAAGCAAACCTCAACCTCTACACTCTACACATGCAAATGCCTGCTGTACAATCCAGAACAAACCTACTGCACCTGGCTACCTGCCAACCACTCGGAGAACAACTCTCAAGCTTCCACTCATCCATTCGCATTCTATAAACAAAATGTGGGCATTATGTTAAAACAAAATCAACTCAACCTTTTCAGTCACTTATCATTTTGTCATATTTTGTCATACGACATTTTAGTTTGCACAGTAAAGCATCTTGAGGTGAGATTTCATTCTACAGGGCCAGTCTCTATAAAATGACCCTGCTATTGCGTTTGTTGCGTAGGGATCCTTTAAACATCGTTATATAAGCATATTTTAAGCATATTTTGCAACCTTCAGCCAGTCCGTGAAGCCAGTTTGAACTGTCCTCTAGCAATTGCCAGGCTTCTACGTCACCCGCACCTTGCTGCCAATCGAACACGGGAGAGTGATCAAAGAGCCATCAGATTGCACATGCGGTGGTCCAAGTCACCTGTCTTCCACTGGCCTCCGACCTCCAACCTAAGAGCGATGGCCTCATGCAGTCGTCCAATTCCTCCTGCCTTCTGGCAAAGGTAAATTCAATGTAAAGCCTTCGCCAGCACCCCTCCCTCTCTCCTCCACCTGAGAATGGTCAATTTGTTGGAGCTGGCCACCCTGGGAGGATCTGGATTCTCTGGTGTGAACAAGGAAGGCATGGCCACAGCAAGTGGATGAGTTCCCAACCACACTCGACCAGCTTGCAAAAAGGTGAGGGGAAGACAGTCTCATTGGCCCAATGTGGTCTGAACTACGAGAAAGACTCGCCTTGCCCTTCAGGAAAGGGAAGAAATGCAGGTCAGACCTGGTGGAAGGAAACGTTAAGGGACCTTCTGAGCATCAACACTCCACCGGCAATTGAAATGTCTGAGAAATGGGCTGGTTCAGGTGCATGGAAATGCAAAGTACATCCGCGTCCTGCATCAGTGTAGTGTAGCAGCTTTCTACCAACAGGTCTGGAGTCAGCATTGATCATACTCTTATCATCAAACCTGTCGTGGAACACCTGGGTATCATCACGACTTACCAGCACCAAGCAGCCTTGCCCGAGGTAGTACCCACATCTGATGCAAGCATACACAAGCACAACAATCATCAACCAACCTGCAAGCCTTTTTGACAAATCGGGCACAGGACCCAGTGCCCTGCGGCTTCCCCATCCCACTCTCCATTTCACAAAACAATACATATCATTGTAAACTGTGGGTCTTCCAAGCAAGTTAGGACAGTTAGGAGTATCCACAATCAATGGAGTGCGGAATTTGCTGCTTGCTTCCCTCGTGCTGCAAGCGAGCAGTAAAACCAGAGCGAAGAGTCAACCTGACCCCCTCAACAAACAGAAACTCAAACAACAATTTCTCGAGATAATTGAAACAAAGACGCTGGCAATGAGATCATCAATATGCAGTTTAAACATGTTGAGAAGTGAGAGAGGAGTTCAAGTAAACAACTATATACATAGTGGTGAAACATTCCGTGCATGTCAATGCACATGTGTTACCTTGGTGCCCCTTGCTCTCACACAGCCAACCAAATTAGCCTCCAGGTGGGACGCATCCATAGGGGACTGAGTTCCGGCAGCCAGCAACAAGGACAGTCACCACTGGTCATCAATTGACACTCACAAGAACTACACTCATAGGTCCGGGGTTGGCAAATCCAAAGGTGGTTTGGATTCAAAGGCAGTGCCCTCACTGGCCTGGCAACAGCCTCCTTGGTCGGGCAACTCTAAGGTGTGCAAGTGAGTGACACTTGCACGCATCGCACTTGCACGTGTTACACAAACCGCTCACCCGCACGAAACGATTGGGCATTTTGTTTAGAGAGGGTCTTATGGTTGTAAGGAAAGATGCTGACTTGCTTTGTTGCTTGTTGCCTTCATTCTAGTGACCAACCTGGGCCCTGCATGACGACTCTTTTCGAACCAAGAAGGCCTGACGACTCTCTTCGACCAAACGTGTGACGCGACCCTCGACCTGACAGGTGATGTGGAAATGTTTGACCCATGGCCTACCCCAGTGTAGTGACTCCCCTGGAGGGTGGACGTGGACCCTGGTAAAGACGATTCTCATCCATCACCCAGTGGTTTTCAGGGTCCATGGGCTGTGAATTTGCAGGTGGATATGGGATCCTATGGGTTTCGGGCCTATTGTTCAATCCAGCTTTGGGCCTTGCTGAGCCTCGCCGGCTGTACAGGCTGCATTTCTGGAAGAAGTTTCTTTCTGCACACACTGCGACACTGCGCTCATTCATTCGCAGGATCCATCCAGAAAAAAGTGCATGTTCATTCTTCTCCAACTCCCGACAAATCAAGAGGCACATGCACAAAGTATCGTTTCTAGGCAGGGTGCCTGTTTCTTTTCATGATAAATTAAGATCAAATGTGCTCCTCCCAGTGTTGCTTTGCTTTACAGCCCAATTTGCTCCCCATATCATCCAGGTCCACCATGGTGCGGGGTTGGTATACTGTCCACTCAATCACATTACTGAACTTCAAGTTGTGATCCCTGCTCTAGTTGAGCTTCTTGTTTCTGACACACGCATTAAAGTGAAAACTCACACACCTATTACATATCTATATATATAAAAACATATCTAGTCTCTGTCTATCTATCTATCTATCTATCTATCTATCTATAAACCTATCTATATTCATGTCAAAGCAAATGACCTTGAAACGCCCCTCGAGGAACACTAAACATATCTAAATATGTTACGCCGTTTTGCTGTTATGTGAGATGCTCGACAACAAGGGAGGAGAACAGAACAAGGCAAACTAAGCAGCGTTCGAAATACACTGAGCCACAACCCGGCTATTCTGAAGAGTACGGCTGCCAAATATCCTAGGTCATGCTCCTCTCCATGACCATGTGTCAAGTCGTACGCGGTGCTCAGATCTCGCTTGCATCACTTCTTGCGCCAAGTGGCGACTACAATTGTGTTCTCAAGCCCCTTCAGGTCTTCCACGACGCTTTTTACCTCGCAGGAGAAGGTCAGGAAGCGGCTTTGACAAATGCGGTCGAACTAACCATTCTTGCGCTCCATTTGGTGATGCCTTCTTCCAGGGATACATGTCATCTACCAGCTAAGCTGTGGCAGCTCTCTCGGAAAGGGGGCAACTGCGGCAACTCCACAATGGCGAGCTGTTTGGCGACTCTATTGGCAATTGTATGCAGCTATGCTAACTGGCAGTTCTCATAGTACTCTTGGCAGCCCTCCTATTGGCAACTCTGTTATCCAGTTCTCTGACTTGGCAGGGTCTGGTGACATCGCAGCCAAAACCTCTAGTGGCCGCTTATTTCTTTTGAGCTTGAATGCAAGGTCTTTCCTCTAGCCCTAATTACTGACAGCTGCAGATCCGGTCTTAGTGTATTTGTTAGGGCAGTTCAACTCATTCGCAACAGTTGCATGCTCTAAGGAAAGCCCTGTTGACAGTTCCAGCCAAACCTTCTCTTGATCTCGCTTTGGAACTCTTTGCGGCCGTATGGCACATACCTTTATTATGTATGTCGTGTGCAGTGGAATTCTTACCCTACAAGTCCAAAGATCCAGTAAAACCTTGTCTTTTGCCTCCTTATGTAGTGCTTGTGTCTGACCAACTCCAAAAAATGAGGTCATTGACCTGCAGGGTTATGCAGTGCGCAGTAACAGCTCATAACAGGTTCATTGGGAAATTATATATGTCGGTTGGGCTATTCGCTTGACTAAAAGCATTGGCAAACCAGTCGCACAATCAATTCCCAGTGAGGCGGTGTTGCTTACACACCAAAATATGCAACCTTCCCTTGGTCGGCAGCTTCATTTCAAGCCTTATTGTATTGGGCAGGGTACAGGTAGCCTATGCAGCTTCAATCCAATAGTCTGGCAGCGACCTACCAACCCCTTTTGGACACAATCATGCGCTACTCTCTGTCTAAGGCTCTAAGGTGTACTATGTGAGGCGTGCAACATGCAGAACAAATCTCAACCAAGGCCTACATCTCCGGGTTGCACACTGCAACATGCCAAAGTCATTCAGAACCAAAATCAATCTGGTCACTTGGATTTCACGGCCAAAAACGCACCCAAGATCCCTTGGGCCTTTGTTGCAAGTGAAGATCGTGAAGTGACGTTTAGGCTTTTCAGAGTTTCACGTAGGTCGCCTTGGGACAGCTCGACTTCGAAAATCGGCTGTGAAGATTGTGAGAACAATCATGCTCACAGAATGACAAACCGCAGCTGCACTTGGCTTCAGGATCATCAGTCCAAAACTCAATAGTTCTCTGTCGTTCAGAGCAAGAAAAACTTCACCTAACCTCCACAAACGTCCGCAGACCTTCTCACCTCGAAACGCTGTCTGGAGGAGTTGAACCAAGCTTCTGGTGAATTTTGCATCGGAAAGCACAATGCGGTAGGCCTTCCTCATTGCCGATCATCAGCTTGCACGGAAACGCAATTGCACAAATTTCCACAATATGAACATGTATGAACATGTATACAACAGTTTTTCTATGTTTTCTAATTTCATAATAGGTATAACGCCTGGATCACCTTGGCTGCAAAATGATCTGAGCACTGCTGTGCCTCAAAGTGTTTACCATTTCACGTGAAAAATTGAAGCCCTCTTACACTTCACATTATTGCGAAATTTGCAAAGAGGTGCAGTTCATGCGCAAAGTGCAGCCATACATCTGCAGTAAAGTCTTATTGTGCTCACCCAAGCAAGAAACAAGCACTGTGCAAAATAAACGCATAGTGCCATGCCTACCGCAGCTTGTCAATACATGCACGATATTGAGTTGACAACAATCTAGAACCATGTGTCAAAGTGAAGCAGCAGCCATGACCACGCGCCATGAAAACGAACCTGTTTTCCAATCCCCCTGTGGACTGCAAGGGGGGGGCCCTCACACTGGAAATAATTTCTGGGTGGGATTTTTCTAGCCAATGTGGCTATATAACCCCTCAACATCACCACACAATAAGCCAAGAAGATACAGGACAGCGTGCAACAACCTGCAATTTAAATCCTCACCCCTACCTCCCCCTCAAAACAACTTCCACATGCAGTGACAAGAAGAGACGGTGAACTGATGCGAAACGCTGCGTGAAGCAACTGTGGCACGAAAACCTACTAAAAAAGGGTATCCATATTTTTGTAAAAAATTGTGACCCTTTTTGTGGGGGCACTGCAGGCATTCATCACAGCCCTACTCGTAGGTGTGGATTTTTGTCAAAAGGTGTCATCCTTGCACAAAGTGAATGTCATTGGACTTGGTCAGCCCTATTGGACAAACATAGTTTCACATCAGATTTTCTGACTTTGTGGTGTGAGTTGGGTCTTTGGGGATGAGTCTGGAGGCGGGGGTTGTGTATGGAATAGTGGAGATTCTTTTCCAGAGGAGCCACCCTGGAACAAACATATTTCAGTAAATTTCAGTGAAAATGGTCTGCCCCAAAGGACAAAATTTCTGTCACATCCGCTTTTCACCAATTGTGATGTGAGTCGAGTCTTTGGATCTAAATCTGGGTGTGGGGTGGTTGCATGTGGAATGCTGCGAATTTTTGTTCAGATGTGCAATCCTTGCAGAAGGTGAATGTCATTGGACAAGGTCAGCCCTAATGGACAAAAATAGTTTCACTGCAGATTTTCTGATTTCGTGGTGTGAGTCCAGTTTTGGAGATCTTTGGGGCTTAGTCTGGGTGTGGGGTGGTCGCTTTTGGAATGGTGTGGATTTTTGTCCAGAGGTGTCATCCTTGCACAAAGTGAATGTCATTGGACTTGGTCAGCCCTATTGGACAAAAATAGTTTCACATCAGATTTTCTGACTTTGTGGTGTGAGTTGGGTCTTTGGGGATGAGTCTGGATGCGGGGGTTGTGTAGTATGGAATAGTGGAGATTTTTTCCAAAGGAGCCGCCCTGGAACAAACATATTTCAGTAAATTTCAGTGAAAATGGTCTGCCCCAAAGGACAAAATTTCTGTCACATCCGCTTTTCACCAGTTGTGATGTGAGTCGAGTCTTTGGATCTAAATCTGGGTGTGGGGTGGTTGCATGTGGAATGCTGCGAATTTTTGTTCAGATGTGCAATCCTTGCAGAAGGTGAATGTCATTGGACAAGGTCAGCCCTAATGGACAAAAATAGTTTCACTGCAGATTTTCTGATTTCGTGGTGTGAGTCCAGTTTTGGAGATCTTTGGGGCTTAGTCTGGGTGTGGGGTGGTTGCATGTGGAACATTGTGGAACGCCCTCAGAAAAAGAAAGGACAAGTATATAGACTGACGATGCCAGTGGGATGGCAGTTCAGAACGGAATGAAATCGTAGATCTGATGAAGCTCGTACACTTTGGATTGCGCTAGGTTTCGGCCCGGTGATGCGGAGATCCGGCAAGGCCCGCTGGGGTAAAGGCAACCGGCTTCACTGTGCAATTCTGGTTCCAAGACTCAATGATGCTTAAGTGCTTAAGCGTAACGGCCAGTTTAACGTTATCTTGCCGATATGCCGAGTGAAAACCTACTGTGATTGGCATCAGCCCTCCCCTAGCTTGCCAGAGCAAGGACAATTTCAGCTAGCTTACTCTCTCTCTCTCTATATATAGCTTGCGTTATTTCATAACCATGTTTAAACACAAAGTCGCAGCCAATTGGGTTCTGAACTCAATTTGATCACAAGCAACCTGCAATCCAAGAATCATAATCTTTGTACTTGCTTGCATCCATTATGTGACGTGTTTGTAGTAGTGAAGAGCTTTGTACACTCATGTTCGTTCGTTGTTGATCATTGTTGCAGGATTCCAAGTATAAGGTCGTTGCAAAAAATCCGGGCTCGCTAGTCCAACCAATCTCCGACGAATGTGTTCGGCCAGCTCACCCGCGATGGAAGCTATCCAAGGTGCTCGACATTAAGTAAATTCTTCTTGTGCTTGTCGTCCTCTGCCAATCTATGCAATCTCTGGCCTTCACATTGCAATCATGCGGGCTGCAAGCTCCGGCAAGTGTTGGTTCCCCGGAAACCAAGCATGTCAACAACAAGGAACGTCGCCCGCAAGGAGCTCGGTGTAACCACCGGGTCCGGATCGAGAGTGTTTTGGAGTTTTTGAACGATGTTCATTGTTTTTTTTCTCATTCCCTGCGCCCAGTTGATGATGATGATGATGATGATGATGATGATGATGATGATGATGATGATGATG